GCACTGTAGCTGTATGGCACGCTAGCAATAAGAGTTCTGACTGACTCACAAACCAATTTAATCAGTAAATAGCTGCTGGGAGTTCTTTCCACAGATAAGTACTGCTATCTTTTCCATGCACATGCACAGTGCAATATTCCAGCCCATTATTTCTTATTTAAATAATTCACCTATTCCCAGCACATGGCAAATATTTTTTCCATTTTCTAGCCATGGATTTCACAGCAGATTGGAGCAGAGCAGCCATATCTGACGCATAAACCTTGTATATCTTCCAAAATAGCCAATCAAACTTGATCCATAACAATTTCTAACAGCAGAAGGTATCATTTAACTATACATTAGTTGTTTATAGCATGTACAGATGTTAACAATACCTGGAATTATGTACTCTGAATTGTGAGATAGTTTCTGATGAACAAATACTGGTATATTGTCCCTATAAACCTACTTATAAGAAAAGTATGGACATCTGTTTGAATAAATCTCACTTTCCTCCTGACCTTTTTTCTACTGCCAGAGAAGTTAAGCTTGTTGATTTTTAATTTGTCTCTCAAATGTGAACTTAGTTTATTAGAGACAGAAGTAAACTTAGTGTTACAGAGATTATGTTTAGCTTTGCAATTCTTACATTAATTCATTCTTAAAACTAATCACATGGTGCCATAGTTTGATTTTCTGAAGAAGCTTAATCTCCTATGAGGATGTACAGTAACTTCATGAAATGTTGCCTGAAGCTAAACTGTTGCCTTGGTAACAAAAAAATGAAGTAGAGTTGCCCTCTAGGCCAGAAGAACTAAACCACTTAGTGCTCCATCCTATGTATTTCAGTTTTGTTGTTAAATGTTAACATGTACAGGCCAAATCAGACAATAACAACTGACCTCTACACTCGGACATATGATTGTAACATCTACCCTTCAAGAGGATGCAAACTGCTATCAGAAACCTTAACATGAAAACCAGAATATATGAAATAGACATAAGAGATGACATCAAATACCAACATGAAAAAAAATCGCAACTTACAACCTACTACAATTTCTGTAGCTCAAAGAAGATGAAAACACTGTTACAAACACACAGCTTCTGTACCTGCAGCGAAGGATGGTGTCTGTTGGTGACTTCTGCTAAGAACACCAACTTGTGCTGTGGCTGGATGGTGAGCTACAGGCCCACTCTTCATGGTCTTCATTGATGTACAGTCATCAGAAATAGTATTACTGCCATGTTAAATAACATGTATCATGTATTTACACCAGCCCAGAATATTTCACTTTGCCATGTCACCAAAGAGCCCAATAGTGACATGATTTCCTAGTGCATGCCCTGTATAAGTGACATTGAAGGTGTTACTGAGCTGCAAAGAATAAAACCACATACGCATAGATTATCACAGCCGTCGTATTTATACTACTTGTGTTTCAGCTATTTTGCTCCTTTTATTTTTATTCCATTTCAGTGAATTAAATAGCTGTCTTTCTGTATGGTAAGAGCAGTGTATTAATTTATGTTCAGCTCACCTTTCCATCGTTGAACAAATACACAGTGACCCAAATATACACATTTACACAAGATTTTATAGAGATCAGAGTATGATACACAATCCTGAAAGTATTCATTCAATGCCTAAGAAAGCTTTTCATTTAATCTACTTTGGGGGCAGGGGGAGAGAGACACCTTGTGCCTCTCCATACAGTGAATTAAATTGCTTTTCATTGACTCAGGTGACTCTGGACAGTGCTCATTCTAATGCAGACTTATTAAATTCAGGGAAGGCTGCTACACTGAAGTCTGGGGTAAATGAAACACTATTCAAATGCTACACTTCAGATACCTATTTCAGATGCTGTCTTTGAAGAATGACATGTAACAGAAACAGTATTTAACTTTCTCTAGGAATGCATCTTAAAGAAGTCTTCTGCTGTTTAATTACAGTAAGTCAAGTACATTTTAGCTAGAAAATTCATTAATATTTCAAGCATACCATACACCATGACTACTGCATACTTCCTGACATTCCTATAAAACCTGATGCTCTTGGGAAACTGATGGCTCCCAGGGTTGCTAGTGAGTGAGAGACCCTTTGCCTCTTGATGATTGATCTGAATTCTGTTTAATCTGGAAGCAGCAAATAACTGTCAGTGGCTGATGGTGTTTATGAATTAATCTGATAACTAGTCTTAGTTTAGATGGAAGCAGGAAAACATCCCAATTTTAAAAATCTTTGCCTGTCTTCCTTGTCCCTTACTCATGAAATCATCTCTCATGTGTATGGATCAGCATGGCACAGATACAGAGTCCTTCAAGAGACTGGACAGACAAAATGTCAGTGGCCATACAGCCTCATCACAGCTTGCCAAGGGTCAGATTACAAACTCTCCCTTCTTCCTGAGGGCACTCCTGGATGCTAGGAAGAAAAATTCTCCTTTAGGAATGAGTAACACCAAACTACAAGACTTACTTGCTTTAAGGGCTATGTAGGGTGCTTCTGGAAAACATGAAGGCATTTTTGCCTTACCACCTAATTTGCATGTTTTGCTTACCCCTAAAACATGGATTTTGGTAGACCTGATTATAAAATCCCTTTTTTTTTTTTCCAACTTGGCAAATACACAGCCCAGATATAGCCCCAACAGTCATCTGTTTCCTTGGCATATGGGACTTCTAAATGTATCCAGGAAGAATCCTGGAGGGGTAATAGAGGTGGGATTCCTCTTACCTGACAGGCCAATTGTTTCTCCTTCTCTTTCCCCTCTTTCCTTTTCATGTTGGACCTGTGTTAGTTTAACAAAAAAGTAATAAAATTTACATAGGAAGAATGGACTGAATCAGACAAGGTAATACCAAATGATTTCCACTGTCCTGTTAATGTAGATCATTCTACTGTTCACCCTCCAGCCCGGTTAAAGCACTTTCATACTGTGCTAAGTAGCATTACACAATGAGCATTATTTAATGAAACAGCAGTATCTCCAGGTAACTTTGACTGGAAGTAAATAGACTTGTCCATCTGTTGGTACCTACCTCTTTCATTCTGAAGACAGAGATTTTCTTGCATCGGAAGTGATGTGTGGGTACGTGCCATGATGTTCTCAGGTATCCTGTGGTCATCCAGACTAGAGACAAGCTCAGCACAGACCAGGATTTCTATCTGTTACATATGCCAAGATTCCCAGCTAGTAGAAATCAAGGCACCTAGGAGTGGAAAACTTAGAGAATGTTGAGTATTCTACAACATAGAGCTGGGATGTGGCTAAGTGGAGTACACCAACTACACATATAAATATATCTAGTCTCCAAAAATGAACAGCAAGTAATTTTTTGTGTCTTTTTCTGTTAACCTGGTAGAATTTTAAGTACTGGAGAGGAAATTCTGACTCCACTGGAGACTATGATGAACCTTGCAGTGACTTAAGCAAGAAAAGCACATTAATTTGGTAACAGTATAGTTTAGCTTCTCACTCTTCTGTAAGTTCTTCCTGGTTTGTCTCTGATCTACAAGGAGGCCACAGTTAACACCACCCACAGCTCTGCAGTCCCCAGATCAAAATATTTTGCTTCTGTTTTCTGACATTATCTTACTGTAGTTAAGTCTAGCAGCTGCCTGCTCAGAGAGACAGAATAAGTGTGATAGAATGTAAAATATTGCTAAGACTTATATGACAACTTTGGTGATATTTACTGGTTCTCACCTTTTCTTAATTACAGGATTAGTAGAAAGAATCATTCCTCACCTAATTTGCCTGCCCCTTCATTTGCCATATGCAACTAGTTACAAAAATCTGCTCATTAACTGTGGCCCAGCATCAAGACTGATTCCACGGGGATCTGAGACTAATATTAATGTCTGTTTTTAATTATTTTTATATGGGATGGAAATTGTTGAGAAAAAACTCAAGAAGCTCCAAGCTGGGAAGGGATGGAAAATTATTTAAGGATAAGATTAAAGTGCATCACGGTGAATGAATGACAGAACCAGACACAATGAGTGGGGCAAAATATGGGGAGTAGTTGACATCCCAATAGGAGACAGATTATTCCAGCCTGCTTGGTGGCTACTATTCCTTAGGTACAGTTTGTAAGAAACCAGGAAAAAGGGGTGTTAGGGAGGCTTCCTGATCATTATCTGCTGCCTAAAAATGGTTATGAATTGGATATATGCTATTGTTATGCCTATTCCAGTCTAAACAGGGAATGAATTCAGCACATTACCATTTATCTTGTTGGATTGGTAGCACGGTCTGGTTTGAATTTGGTCCGGAGGAATTGGTGCTCCCCCAGACAATGACACAGCATAGCTCAGCACTAGGACAAGGTCCATTTTTCTTGAGTAGCAAGGACAGATTATAGGAAGAGACCTTAGTTATATAGTTAAAACTCTGCCAGAACCCAGGCCACGGCTTTATGATGTTGATTAGCATAAAGAGATGCAGCCCATATGTTTGCATTGTGGCATGCATTTGGAGGCAAACTGCATATGCAACAAACCTCCCCCATACTCCCCTCTTTGTAAAATAAAGTTGTTGTTGGGTCTTGGAAGGAGGAACAGATATTGTACTGAGATACTAACAAAATACTTAGACCATATAGACAATAGCCCCACTATAAATGTTATAAGAGCTGCAGAAACCAGCTCCGAAGAAGCGTAATAGTGCATGAAGCACGGTGGATGTTTCCCCCTGGAAAACAGACATTATCCCAGACATAGATGTCCTTTCACATTTAATGTTTCCTTCTGAACAGATATTTATAGCTTCAACAATAATGACAGAGCTGTTTCTAAAGTCTCAGCCAAAAAGACCACATTGCTAAGGTGTGGCATTCCCAGTCATGACTGGGCATATGTGAAGCACCACAGTGAAAAACGTGGGCAGTTGCTGGTTTAACTGTAAACGGACAGAGTCTGGTGCTCACAATGGTATTCCCAGTGGTATTCCCAGAGGAACAAGCCTCCCTCCTTCCTGCCTAATCTCCACAAAGCCAGAATATTTACCTTGCTGTTCAAATTGTTGACCTTCAGGTCTTTCTTAAGGCTGTGCTGTTTTTCCTGGTCTCTGAAGGATGAGAGATACAATTCAGGTTGAGTTTACAAGTTTCTGGTTGTTAGACATGCATTATTTTGATAACAGCTATTTTGTAGTGCATAGGATGTCTAAACCGTGCAATGGGCAACAGTTTTACATTTCTTTTTACGTTAGCATGTTTAAAAGGTTTATTTTTCCTGTCAAATTTAGCCATCCTTTCAAAAGCGCAAACATTTCTTGATAGGACAGTAGACATACTTGTAAGAAACTCCAAATCATTTCCTTCGCCCACTCCCCATTTTAGATCATCTTTCACATGGGAACAACTTCCCTCCTCCTCACTCACCTCCTCCTCCAAAAAAATTTCTGACATCTGTTCCTTTACCTCTCTTGCAGCCACTCTTCCCCCATCATTTGCCTTTTATTTTGTGGGATCCACTTGTGCACTTCAACTCGATGCTCTTTGGGGTATAAGCTGTTATGTGTGTTGCACTTCTAACCCTTTGAAAAGGATTTTAAATATTACAGACATTTACAGCACAATATAAATGATAATGTAGTTAGACTGGAAAGGCAATTCCCTAGTTAACACCTCCCACATGTAGTGATTAAGTACTAGGCTCAAAAGCGTGCAGCAAACCCAGTGCAGATACATTTCTAGAAAGAGACTGCAAATTCCTAGCTCCAGATGGTCTGCAGTTGGTGAATAATTACATGGATTGTTTGGTGCTTCACTAATCAATCATGACAGCAACAAGGAGAAAAAGCATGTCTGGGTAAAGGAAAATGTCCTTTGGAAAAACCCCAAGTTATCATTTTGTGCATTTGATCTGCTCATCAAACATGGTCTTTTTTTCCCTTTTGTGGTATTATACTGTTTTAATTTTTCAAGAATAAATCCAGAAAAAGCAGTTGGTGGTGGTTTTCTCACCTATAAAACACACAAGATAGAAGTCTGAATAGCATCAAAATGACTACTGCATTGTATTTCAAAGACTGAAAAATCATAAATGGAAGAGGAAGGTGCAGAGAATTAATATCCTGAATTACATTCTGGAGACCATGAAGCCTTCTTCAGCTATTTCTGTAATTCAGCATGAAACCTGCAATTTAGGATGTTGAAAACAAGGACTGGGAGGGAGAATTCCAATCTACAGATTCCTTTCTCACAGCATGAAAATAGTTTGATATTTAAAAAAAATTAATTATCTAAATTGAACCATAAGCAATGAGCATCAGCCCTGAGATGGGCTCAGTTGGTTAGAAAAGGGTGCTAATAGAGCCAAGGTGATGGGTGCTATCCCTATATTGGCCATTCACTTGAGGATTGTATTTGATGATCTTTGTGGGTCACTTCCAAATATTCTGAGTAAATTTTCTGTGATTCTGTGAAAATGGGATCATCTTCAACTGAAACAAATAGAACAAAGACCAACGCTGCCTTGACTACATACTGCTTGGTTTAATTTGATCTCTCTCTGTGCATCAAAAGAAGGGAAAGAGCACAATTAAATGCATAAAAGAAATGGTGGGTGAAGATACTGTAGAACTCGGAAATAGAATAGGTGGTTTGGGGGTTTTACTTTGATGGGGAGGGTGAGCAGGGAAAAAAGTACTACAAGAGCCAGTTTATTCTATTGAATCTGTGAGTTCAGATATCTTTATGGTTTCTTGAACTTATGTGTAGTATTTAAGCCTGTAGGAAATGAAATGCATGGCAATAGACAAAAAATGTAATGAGCTTGATAAACTCAGTGACTGTAGCTCAAAGTTTGGATATAAAAGCAGCAGAGCTCAGAGATGTGCTGTATTTCAATCTATTTAGATTTTCCATCAAAAGCAAAACTAGTTTTTTTTTTTAACTAGTTGTTTTGTTTGGTTGGCTTTTTTAAAAAATTACTGTAGGTATGACTCAGAAAAATACAACTGGGCAATATAAAAAGGTTGCAAAAGCAGTGAGGTAAAAAGAAAATAATAACTGGATTTCAGAGATCTAAAAGTACAAGAGATTTATCCATGTTAAGGCTAACTACTGTTTGCCTCCCAGTACTACTCCATTAGAGTCATGTAGCACATAACTAACCTGATATTCTCAGGGAAGACATTTGCCAAAAGGTGGATATTGCACCTGATGACATTAATACTTCCTTCTAGTGCCAGCTTAAGTAATTTGGAGTAAGATCTATATAAATTATGTGAAGTCAGTGCTTGTGGCAGTGCTTTTGCTGATGTTTTAGAAGATAGACCTGGAACACAGGCTAAGCTATCAAGGTATTGATCTATGTACAATGGGAAGAAAATTAGGTGAAGAATAAGCATTTTTCTGCTTTTTTCCCTTCACTCTCTTGGACTTAGAAATAAGTTTTTTTGGAAGAGAGCTTCAAGATCATTTGCCCAACCATCAACCCAGCACCCACATAATTTCCTCTAACCCATATCCCCAAGTGCCACATCTACACATCTCTTCAAACTTCCTAAGATTGTGACTCCACCACCCACCTGGGAAACTTATTCCAATCCCTAACCACTCTTTCAGTGAAAAAAAATTTCTAGTATCTAATCTGAACCTCCTCTGACGCAATAAGACTATTTCCTCTCATCCTTTCACTTGAGATACAGCAGAAGAGACTGACCCCACCTGGCTGCAACCTCCTTTTGGGTTGTGTACAGAGCAATGAGATCCCCCCTGAGCCCCCTTTTCTCCAGGCTAAACAATCCTAGCTCCCTCAACCATTCCTATTTGCACCAGTTGAACCTTGTACTTTAATAAATGTTTCTAAGATTTCTTATGCTTTTTTTCTGTGAGAAGATACAGCTGAATTGGAATTCTGCCTCAATTTCCTTTTGAACACCTTTGTGGTTGGATATAAAAGTTTCCAAATAACTGAGCCTTATCTATTTCTTCTGCAGCTGATCACTAGGCAAAGTTTGCTTGCATCTGCTCCTTTGGTCAGTATAGAGATATTTCATTCCCTCCCACATTAATATCCGTAATCTGGTTTCAGCTCATGGGTTTCCACTAACTCCAGCATATGCTGCTGATTATCTAGGACTGCAGCTTGCCTTGTCATCTCATTGACCCATCTGACTTATTTCCTGGGGTGGGACAGGAGTGGGACATGACTTTCCTTTTCAGTTTGCAAATTCTTTCAGAGCTTGTCTCAAAGAAAATCCTCTATACATTTTGAAAAAGTCTGGGCAGCATATGTTACTATTCACATGTTGCCTTATGAAATGGTTGCTTGCTGCTGTTCACAGATGTTCAGAGCACAGTCCTGATTTACCAGGATGTGTCTACTGGTAGCTTGTACGTGGCAGTTTTATTTCATAGCCCATTTGGGTTAACTGGCTGCTCCTTCATGCCAATGCAGCCAACCTCTTTTGGACAGACATCACATAGATTTTTCTGTGTCTGGACAAGAAGCAATGGGCTGCTGAATATCCATATTTTGACATCCTAGAAGCCAAAAACTTATCTTTGGACTCAGGGTGTTCTTTGCTTGTTGCATATTCATCCTTCAGCATTGCCTGGCTCTTACTCATTGTGCCATAGCCATCTATACAAATATCTTGGACATTCAGCTTAGGTGTTAAATGAAGAGGGAATGAACATGAAGGCAAGAAAGTTCAACCAGATGCCCCTTCATTCTAAAAACAACAATAAGTAGTCATTTCCCATTTCTTTTGGCGAGCCAAACATCTGACAGCCAGACTTCCACAGTTATGTCCCCACTTGCAAGGGTGATAGCTTTACTTCAATTTTAATTAATGTCTCTTCAAGCTGTTGATAGAATTCATCAACTGCATCTTTGTCATCTGCTGTCGTAGGAGTGTTAATCTGTATGATCGACATATTGACTGGATTTGCTAGAAAAAGAATTGTAATGATTTTATTGCTGATTGGATTATATCCAAGCATACACTTTGATCTTTTGGATGTGACAAACACAGTGGAAGTTTCTTCTAGCTTTTCTGAGCTTAAGCAGCAGCCCAGGTAACTGTTTATCATCCTAGAATGGCACCTATAATTCCACTGCATCACTGATTCTATATTTACCTACTTCTGATTTTCCCAATACTTTTGTCACAATAATGTGCTTCTCTTCCCCCCCCCACCAACCCCCCCCATGCATTTCATGTTCTTACATTAACATTTGGTATGCAGAATAATCTTCAGGAATTAACTTCCTAGAGTTTTGGTAGAGCCAGAAACACTCTCTGTGGCCAAATATTCTACATTAACCTCTTCTGAGTTGTAGTGTCTTGCATTCCACCATGGGAGAAACAGGATGGATCTGATGCTCATTGCTTAACCATGCCCTTTTTCTATCCCAGCAACCTCTCCACTTGTCACCTACCTAATCATGCACGTCTCCTGAAGTTTTTCAATTTACCTGTACCATGATCAGCATTTGGAGTTTGCCTACTCTGCTCAGCCTGCAAGTAATGAACTCCTCATCTGACGGGTGTCAGGTTCCTTGGTGAATATTTAATCCACAAAAACAAGACCAATGCAAGTGGAAGTACAAAAGGGATAAAAACATCTGTTTGACTGAGTGGGTCACAGAAGTTGAAGGAAATGCAGAATATTTGAAAACCAGAGGGAGAGTGTCAATATTGGACAAGTTGACTTTAAGGAGTACACATGGCAAATGTTCCTTATCTGTAAACAGAGTTGGGTGAGCACTGCAAAACCTCCAAAATTTAGCAGATCTGGTTGACACATATTCGGACAATCTTCTTTTGCATACCATTTAATATAAATATTTGATCTGAAAACATGGCAAGTGTCAAATTACTTTGAATCAGGACCCTACTAAAACTGAAGGTATGACTCAAGTTGATTTTTAAATTGACTCTCTGCTTGTTACAGCATGTTTCTCTTTTGAAGGTACTCCTTTTCTACACAGAACAAAATGACTGCTTAAGAAAAAAGGAAAAAAACCCAGAACAATTTCCTATTTTTTCTTGAATACTTAAATAATACTTTAAACATGTTTTACTGAACTGAAATAAACTTTACTTCTGGGGACAAACCTGCCATGCCTGTTTCACTAAACAATTTGGCTTTTCTGGGGTGCAAGTCAAAGCAGAATTTGGGATATTTCTGTGATCTTTTCATAATTTCACATTATATTCCTTAATTATTTTCCTAGCTTCATCTTCAGGACTTTTCTCATACCCAATTTTAAATTAATTTGTTCTTCCTTCAGATACCTGTGCATATGACCTTAAAGAAAAAAACAGAGGGGTGTCAATACTTGCAGTCCAGTCTGTAACTTCTTCCATTAATCTCTCTCATAAGAAAAAGAGACAAATGAATAGCAGGGTCAAAGGTTGACTTCTATTGATCATTTTGAGATGTTGTTTGGACACAGTGTCTGCTTTCTTGTCTGTTTACCTGAACCCATTAGAATTTGTCTCTTAAGGATCTGTTGACTTTAAGCTGTGATGCTTTAGGACACTATATATATCACCAGAAAAAATAATTGCTGTGACTGAGTCCACCCACTGGTCTAACTCTGTCACACATGTCAGGTTCTGCAGCTGCCATAATGACCATAAAAACCTTTAAATGATGACAAAGTAATTGAAAAGTGAATTTGAACTTGATGCTGGCAATCAAAGTAGTATTTGTTTAGTCAGTTCTTCTCAGATTATTAATGTGCTTCTCTTCAGATTAATCCTGTAATTGATTTAAATACACTCCTTTTTCTTGGAATGGCTGCACATGAGATTCAAAAATAAAAAATTGCTTCATCTAACTGTTTCTCAGAAGAATGTAATTGATTTATGTAGCCACATGTTTAAACTGCTTAGAACGATATCCTGGTACTCTGGAAAAATGTTTTCAATATGTACAACATAAATCTATATCCTTTACCTCATTTATGATACGTAGACAAGAACTACTTTTTTCCTTCTAATTTTTGCATTATAGACAGTAAATACATTTTTAATAGCTAGATAGCCACAGTTACAACAAATCATTATAATTCTAATTACCAGAAATTAAAATATGATAGTCGTGTATTTCATTTCAGATGCACTTCATTTTTCTCAGGGTCTACAGACTTGTAATTGCAGTATCAGAATAATCAATATTAAATAAACATTAATGAAAAAATATTAATGAGGATGAGTGGAGCACTTGAAGGAAGTCCTTGGCAGAAGCAGAGATGACAGCTTGCTCTTTGCCCATTACTATTGCAGCTTGTAACTTGTATATGGAAAGTAAGGAAAGATCTTTGCCTCTGAGGTACTATTTTGATTTGCCTTTAATGAAACCATGTTGGCTGTCACCAATCACCTCCTTATTTTCTATGTGTCATGGCACAGATTCCAGAAGGATTTTCTCCCTTATCTTTCTAGGCACCAGGTGAGATTGACTGGCCTGTAGTTCCCCAGACCTTTCTTTTTTCCCTCATCCAAAATGGGGGTTATGTTTCCCCTTTTCCAGCTGGTGGGAACTTCACCAGACTGACACAACTTCTCTAGTATGTTGAATAGTGGCTTAGCATTTCTTCAGGTCCCGTAGGCTTGATGTACCCTTGGATTCCTGTGATTAATTCATCCTTATCTTTTGGAAAATTTTTAGGAAAACACTTTTTCTCCTAGTGTCTAAGCCTTACTTACTATAACTTAAGCCTGTTACTTTTGTCTTATCCAGCATGGATTCTGAAATATTGTCCTTCTTTTGCAGCAAGTCACTAAGCATTTGAAGAATGACAGTGATTCTCCACTCTTCTCACCTCAAACCTCAGCATTATTTAAACAGTCCAGGTATGTAAACTCATGCTTCATCCATCTGGGTGGCACAATGCCTATATCCCCTTGCCAAAGGGAGTGTTTGGCCCTACAAAGCCATTATTAATATCAGCCATTGTACTTCTAGGAACAGGATTGTTGCAATTGCCAGCTTTCACCAACAGACTTTTCAGAAGTCTTTTCACCAGCAGCTTCAGCTAGAACAGGATGTTTTTGTATGTAAAAGTCAGCCAACTCAGCTGACTACCACTGATATGCAGCAGGGACAAATGGCCAGATGCCAAATCACTATATAGATGTGAGATTGTTTTTAACATTTACCTAAGCAAAAAAGTTTCAAAAAAAAATAACCAGATACTACTAAGTACCAGTTTCTGGAAGCCCTTCAGGAAATCTTCATATAGAGGTATTTTAAGAAACATAAGGGCTTGTGGGGATAGCAAGTTCAGAACAAGGCTTCCCTGTGTTCAGGTGGGGTGGAGAATATGAAAACTGAAACGTGCTAACTGCTTTCTAAATACTGACAAAAGACACTCATTCTAATGGATTTTCCAGTGGACAATCTTGATGTTAAATTTACATTCACTCAGTCTCCAGTAGTCAATGAGACCTCCACAGAAGAAAATAGAATTTTGGTGGACAATTTATGCTTTCACTCGTGAAACATACCTTGTGTCAGGAGGACACAAAGTGTTGAAAGTATGGTCCAATGTAAAACAGTAAATATAGCACTGATAACCAGAGAACTGCCTGCAAAACCAGGAGGCTTCCTGATGGCTCAGCAGAGTTGTGTTCCTCTGCGCTCTGTGTGAGTGAGGATCCTTCCCCTCTTGACCTCCAGGGACAGCTGATCTTTCAAGATGAGAATTCTGAATAATAAGAAATGTACTCAAGTAGAAGGGAAGGAGGAGCACAAGAGGGAAATGATTCATTGTGGTAACTGAAGTAGAAGAATAACCTATTCATATGCAAGGTCATCTGTTGTTCTGTGTCATTGTGCTAATGAATCACTGTTTGTTTATACTCTGGGAGCAGCACCTTACCAGTACAGAGAGGAAACAGAGACTATTTGTAGCAGGGATTATACCAGTAATTTTAGTGAAAACTTCTAATTTCAAAACACCTGACAGAAGAAAGGGCTGTATTCATACCTAAACCTGCAGAGACTTCCCCACTTCTTTGGACTGTGTGCAATTTAAACATATTTGTCTTAGTGCCAGATCTGTGGCCAACTGATCTGAAGCAGAATTTGACAGTGCAGACACTGACATATTATGAACTGCCAAAAGCACAAACTAGGGAGCACAATGTTTGTGCTTCTTCTACAGCTAGAGTGTTCATTAGTGGTTTAGAGGAGAAATGGAAAGGCTGTGACAGGGAATAACTTTACTGGCAATATGACTAATTTATGCTTTCATTTCCCTTCTAAACATCTTAAGAAATGTTACCTCAACTATAAGCCATTTATTCCAATAATTCTTAATTTGTCTATTGGGGAAGTTTATGTTTGTGTTGCCAAAGAATATGAACAGAGAGAATCTCTTAGCCTAAATTCCCAAGAGGTGATCTCTTGATTTGACTAGACCAGTTGGTGCTCTCTGAAGGAGACTGTTTTTTGAGTTGGTCTGTGGATAAGAAAATGAATGAGGAGCTTGTGACTGTATTTTTTACAATTGTTTTGAAACCTGCAAGGGTGTCACCTGCATGCTTCATGCAGCACAATCATGAGGTCTCCAACTGTATTTCGCTTCCTGATGTGCAGAAGTAATGCTAGATTCAACAACACATTCCTTCAGACCTCTATTGATTGTCAGAGAAAAAAATCCAAACACCCAGGAAACAACCTCTGTACAGGTTATCACACCCCTGTGAAAACCAAACAAGACTTAAACCTGATACTGAAGCACTGCTTCAGCTTTCAGTGCCAGATCTAAAAGCAGTGGGTAATTAACTACTGTAAAGGGCACAGAAGAGAGACAGGAACAACAGTCTTCACTTACTACTCTGCAGAGCCACATAGCTCTGCAAAGAGCCTGGCACCCTCCACCTGGCGTGTACCTGACTGCTCCACCACTCTTCAAGGCTGCTAGCTGGTACAAGGGATAAGGCTTATGCTACTGAACAGCTTTGCTTATGAACTCTAAGCCCTATATTTGATTGATTATTCCTCCCTCTTAATCTTTCAGAAACAAGAAGGGAGAGAACTCCCAAGGTCCTGGTGATCATGTCAAACATCCAGTTTTAGGAGAAATCGTGGAAGAAACTGTGACAAATTAAAGACAAAAGAGCCAATGAGCAAGGAATAAAAATGACACCCAGGATTGATAGCCAGGTAAATATATCTATATATCCATAAAACTACAGTTCTTTTTATAAATTTGAAAAAACAAAGAGTATGGTTTAGGGATCAGTAGGAATGGAGATAGTGCGTGAGCTAAAAGACATGAAAAATATTTTAAGTTCAGGAGAGAAACCAAGCAGAATTTTGAACAGTTCTACAGTAGGAAAATAGTTAAATTATTAATATTAGAGCCTTTCTCATGTTGTAAATTTATTAAAAGAAAATAATGACATTTTCATAGATTTTTTTCCCCTAAAATTGTAAGGGGATTTATCTGGTATGCACTTTGTGAATAAAGAGTAGACAGGTAATTGTGCTTGTTGTTTAAGGTTTTGATGCTTAAATATATTTACTATTTCATGATTTTATAAACTCACAGACTTTCAGTTAAGTTTAAACACCTGCCTTACTTTATTATGATTATTACTAACTTTGATAAATAGTTCAAAGAAACTTTGCCTTCCTTTTCTTTTTGGTTTCCAAGTAAGACTGTCTATCCCGTAAGATGACTGCAAAAATAAATTCAGAATATAAAGGAAGGAACGCACTACCATATCTTTATCTTCTTCCTCAAGATGGGGAAGAAAATAGTAAAGACAGTATAACACAAGTAAACGTACCTGGATAGAGACTGAGTTGTTGATAAAGATGCGGAACAACAAGGGTAAACTCCTAGGGCTTGACATGTCAGCTCTGCACAGCAGCATTAGAAAATTTAAGAGGAAGAATAGGTTAGGCTCAAACATTAATATTCTACAAGAAAGAAGGAGTCTTTACCTCTTTGCAGAAATTCCAAGGGACTATTCAAAACTGTGGCTATTTAGTCTTTCCATTCTTCTCAGTATCTACTTAATTGTAAATATACTAACTTCTGCCATCAGCATGGCTTGGGCAAGTCATAAAAAAATAAACTCTGTTTTGTGTCTTGAATACTAAAAGATATTGCTAACTCTTGCAACTGCAGTTGAATCTTGACATTTCACATTAGACTGTATATGTTATACAGATTAAAGCAGTTTAGTAAATAGGTCCATCAAATGAGATAATGAAAAAACATAAAGAAGAATGAGAAAAATACAGGGACTGTCTTTCCCCTACTCTCTTAACTCACCCATAAGATGATGGGGAAGACTGGACTTTTGAGGCAGAACATTTTCACAATCTTCCTGTCAGGTCAATGAGAACATTAAAATATTAAGTCTATACTAAAAACAATAAGAAGTGACAAAGGATGTTTTTAAGCCTGGATCTTTCTCATCTCTACAGATGATTAACTAAAATTAACCCAGCATGGATTTTAATTTTAGTAACTTGTGCTCTCCTAAGCATTTTGATGGATGTTGAAGGTGTTAACACGGTGCCAGAGATGCTTCCAGAAGCAATTTAGACAATGTCAAATATAGATATGGTCTATACAAAGCATACACAGCAGTATGCACCTTATAGCTCTTTTTTGACTACAGAAACTAGCAGCTAGCAAAGCATGTAGAAAGACTAGGGCATCATCACAAACCAAAAATGGCTATTCCATCATATACTGGGCCACAGATATTACCTATAGATGGATAAATTTCTCTCAGTTATTCTTGCAGAACACCATGGATGCACATAATACCCATTCCAGGTATCCACTGCTCGACCTTTCCTTGATTTGTGTGATGTAAGGCTGATTTTGGGGAAGTTATTAGGACATGTATCCAAGTTTTATAAAGGACTGAGAGTTCACTGAACAAATTCTACCATTAAGTGTCTTAGAGTAATGCACATCTAAAAGTCACTGAACTGCAAGATAATCATGTTTAGTAGGCCAGTGAAGCATAAATACACACATTGTTAAAATTAGTCTTTTTAAATGGGACAAGTAAATATGCAGCTCTTATAAAGAACTCATCCACTGATCTGGAGAAAAAGATCTGTTCAAATGTAACTTGATGAAAGGGATTATCTTGAATTTCCAGTGTAATTTTATTAAAGAGCTGAATTCTACATTTTTCCCCCTACTAGGGATGTTAATCTGTTCCTTGATGTGATATTAGTTGCATTTAACCTGAAAGGAGATGGATTCAGTCATGCATACATGACTAACCCTGTTAAAACATCAACAACAGAACTGAAAATCTCCCATCTAGATATTAACTGCACTACATAACTAACAAAACCCATGGGTTGAGATTCAGAGCCCTAAAATGTCAATAATCACATTCAGTCTATGACAAACAGAAACAGCAAGTGCAAAGGATGACACTTAATGTGTAATTAATGGAAAGGCGGGGGTGGAAGAGAAAATATAAAATACCCTTTCCTTAATATAATTTAGCCTATACTGTAAAGGTTTACAAGAGATAGAGCTGTCTATTAAAAAAAAAAAAACAAAAAAACAATTAAGCAGCAATTAAACACAAATTCATAGATGTCAATTTTACCAGGTATTTTACTCCTTGGTTCAGACTTACATTTTTGAATTAAATCTCTGTCCTGTCAAAAGCCTTTGATTTGCTTTGACACAAGGGAGACTATGACAAGGGTTAACTGTACCTTGATATTTTAAAGAGGATAATTCTGACTTCATTGACTGATGGAAGACAGCTGATACCCCTGGATACCAGTGAACATAATCCCACTATTTCTTTCTGCCCTAATGTCTTCTTGATTATGCAGAGCAGAAAATGTTTTCCAAAGGAAGAGGAGCAGAGTGCATTTCCCACAGAGATCCAGTATTTCCCAGGCGCTTTTGGTTTGTATGCACTAGAAGGAAAGAGCTTCTGTGTTCATCTATTTGGTTGATTTAGTCAAGTTTCTCAAACACTAGAGCGAAGTTTAAGGATCGGTATAAAGATCCTCATTAGATGTATCTGGATATCCATTCTTCTCCTACAGCTTCTAGCAATCAGTCCAGAAAGGCATAGAACCTTGCTGGGTTTGTGACATAGTGAGCATCCATCCAAGCATATAAAATGCACAAGATGCCTTGGTTTCATACCTGCACACAGATGAATTACCTAAACTTGAGGTATTTGAACTGGTTATCTGTGATGGCAAACTGGATTTTTTGAATTCAAAGGAAATTAGATGGACCATATAGGTGGTCTTTCCTTTTTCAGTGATGAAAATGTGGCTGAACTAGAATGTTTTTCAGAAGAATTCTTTTTCCTCTGTTTTCTTTACAATGGATTCTCACAACAACCAAAGGTTCTTACAGAGGCCAAATATTTGCCCAGAGGGCATTACAGAAGGCTGACATATCTTTTTCAGAAAACACCCTGAAACACACACTCCCACTTCACTCCATCAATGGGTTTCTTCTCTTTTCATCTCGCGGCAACTTGGGACACCCTGAGCAGTTTTGGGGGGTTTTGGGGTGTTTGTTTTTTGTTGTTGTTGTTGAGTCTGATGGTGATTTGTTTAAAAGATCAGTACTAAGGTTTTAGTTTTCATTTTGTTTGAGCACACTGGAAACCAGAAAGCCAGATCAACATGTCAGGGAATCTGCTTAATGATACATAATCCATCTTCTGGATGTGGCATGAGTTACTGAGGTTTCATAGTTTAATGCTGTGATAGTATAATCATATAATCAATGCCCCAGACTAGGAATTAAAAGTATATTGATCAGCACTGTGTTTGAAAGAGCTAGCTTAGCAGATAGAAGATAGTTTTATTCACTATTACTAATAGCTCCCTACCAATCCTGTGTATCTGAAATCACAAACTTTGAAAACACAACTTCTCACCTGAGGAGTGAAGCAGCAAAAGAAACCTCCAATCTTTTTGCAATAGCCTGCCCTCGGACACTTTGTAATTACGAAGTGTGTAGATTATTTCATTCTAGTTTAGTATTTTAATCCATAAATTCACTAAATCTTTAAAGTTAGAGAATTCTGACTGAGCTATTAAATCAGTAGCTGAGATGAATAAAAACTAAGTGTAGGTAATAAATCCCTTATTTAAATAATTCCAAATTCTCTCTCTTTTTGGATGAATATTTGATATTTCAGTTTACCCAAATATATAACTTGAAATGCAAATGCTTTAGGATTACTATCTCCCAGATTGTATCACAGTACTCCTGACATTTTTCTTAATTACAACAAAATACTGACTTATACTGCTATACAAAAAGTAATGCATTAGGCCTTGGTATTTCCTTCCCCTGAAACCCTGAGCATGGTTCTTGGTAGGCAGCACTGGGCTGTTTTGAGCACCAAAGGTTGTGCGGAGATAACTAGGCTTGGTATCTGTTTTCTACCAGGGATATAATTTGATTATATGCTGTAAAACATGCAAGAGAATAAGCCCAGACCTTTCTCTGGAGGCATAACTGCTGAGGAAAACATCTTCTCTCTGTATCCAGCACCTCAATAACCCTATAGGTCCGATAAAAGAAGCAAGCAAACAAACAAACAAACCATGGTCACTTTGCCTGGGAGCATTCATAGCATTAATGTTAGTTTCCTTGTCTTGCACCTCCAAGGAACCTGTAAGGACAGGTTGTACTGGTTAAAATGCCTATTTTCTATCTGCCATTTCATCTCTACACTTACTTTTAAACACAGACATAAAGCAAACACACACGGATTAATGCCATGTGTTCCTACATTCATACAGGTTTGCTTCAGGAGGGGCAAGGTGTGGAGTTTGTTTTAGCTGTTACACCAGAAAGGTCTGTGTACCTGCAGGAGCTGGTGAGATGAGTAAGGGAAGCAGAAGCAGCAGAAGCAATTTGACAGATGAAAATGGAAATGATCTTCCTAAGAAACTTCTTGCAGCCTGACAGGCCCTATCTTAAAGGTCTACCTTTTACTGCTGGTCTCAGCAGCTCTGGAATGTTATAATTTAAAAAACACTAACCTTTCATCTAGCCTCTGCAGTCTCAAGTGTTTTAAACTGCAGTGAACAAAATAGGTCAGGTTCAAGCTTTCAAGAAGCTATCATACCTCTGGAAAGTTCCAAATGCTTATGTCTGCAACATTGTTTGGCTTGAGTGAATCCACTGCAGGATCGCAGATCTGTTTTGTGCTCCTTACTTCATGAACTTAACTGTATCTTCCCATAAATTTAAATTGTATCTTTGTATTATAATAGAATTGAGGTATATATTTCAACTTAATTCTTACTCTTTTACACTACATAAGCACTACTGTGTTTATTTACAACAGCTGCTGTTATTAAGTTGTTGAAGCCCACAGATCTTCCTAAATCTTCCTAATATTGCAGATTTTAAGACCTTCTGTCAGAAAACATTACAACATCAGAATACAGTGTATTTATAATCATGTAGAAGTGAATGAAGACTTCTAAAAACATGCTTAAGAATTGTTGTCCTGATTTTTTCAAACTGCAATTTATTCTCATGAATTTCTCTGTTAGGTTTAACACCATTACTTCTTTGTTATTATAAATAGTTGGATTATCACTTCATGCCCTGCCCCAAACATATATTTTGGAAATTATTCTGGAAAAAAAGCACACCAAATTCATCCCAAATACAGAGATCAAGAACAAGAGGAGTGCAAGCTGAAATAATTTGATTTACAGTAATAACAGAATGGAACTGCCCACTAGTTGTTTTCACTACAAATAATTAGAGATAACAATCACCAGTTATGCAATTTCAGATGAAGCCCATTTTTCCTGATATATAATACAGACACAAATGACCAAAATGCATGATGAGTTTGGTAATTAAAACAGTGACACAATTCCAAAAGGACTACTTTATGAAG